GCCTTCAACACGTTCACGGCCAGATATATAGGAAAAGATGGACAAAACCTAATTCCCTCGAGACAAAACGTGAGGAATGAGGGAACTAGCTACAGACCGGCGTGACCAGTTCGGTTCGGTTGACGACTCGACCGGCTGGTCCGCTATACTCCCCCTCAAGCGGAGGCATGAAGATCGAACATGCCAAGCTTGGACAACAACCGACGAAAATGATCAACACCAAGGCCTTTGGTGAAGATGTCCGCAGGTTGTTCAGCAGTGGCGATTTTGCGAGGAGAAATGTCACAGGACTGAACGCGTTCGCGTACGAAGTAGCAGTCCATTTCTACGTGCTTGGTGCGCTCATGGAAGACAGGATTAGCAGCAATGTGAAGAGCTGCTTGATTGTCGCAGTAGAGAGGTGTCGGGCCAGACTGTGAAGCACCCAGTTCGGAAAGCAGCCAACGTAACCAGATGATCTCACTGACTGTACTGGCCATAGAACGGAACTCGGCCTCAGCTGACGAACGAGCAACGACTGATTGTTTCTTGGAACGCCAGGAGATGGGGGCAGAACCAAGACGGAGGAGATACCCAGTGGTAGACCGACGAGAGGTGGGGCACCCAGCCCAGTCTGCATCACAGAAACCCGTCAAGAGCAGCGAGTTATCTGTAGGGAAAAACAAACCGCGACCAGGGGATTGCTTGAGGTAACGTAGTACTCGATGAGCTGCATCCCAATGAGCCTGAGTAGGAGCATGTACGGCCTGACTGAGAAGATTAACAGTATAAGTGATGTCAGGACGGGTCACAGTGAGATACAGAAGGCGACCAACTAGTCTTCGGAAAGAACCGGGATCCGTAACAGGAGGAGATTCCCGGCGACCCAACTGATGATTCTGCTCGATGGGGGATGCACACGGACGAGCTGCGGGGAGCCCTGAATCAGCAAGGATGTCTAAGACATATTTACGCTGATTGATGACCACACCACGCGGAGAACGAGCGACCTCGATGCCCAGGAAGTACTTAAGTGGACCCAAGTCCTTGATAGTGAAGCGATCATGCAAGAATTCTTTAACGCGCCGAATAAAAGGAAGATCATCGCCAGCCAGGATAACATCATCGACATAGATAAGAGCCACAACGAAGGAGGTGGCCGTGCGATAAATGAACAAAGAATGGTCAGCACGACTCTGACGAAAACCAAACTCCACCAATGCTGCAGAAAACTTCTGATACCAATTTCTGGAGGCCTGCTTCAAACCATAGATAGACTTATGGAGAAGGCAAACCCGATCATCACCAGGCTGATTAAAACCTTGAGGAACCTTCATGTAGACTTCTTCGTGAAGATCCCCATGCAAAAACGCATTGTTGACATCAAGTTGGTGAATGAACCAACCGCGAGTGACTGCAACAGCCAAGAGACAGCGAACTGTAACCAGCTTGGCAACAGGCGCAAAAGTGTCATGATAGTCGATCCCTTCGATTTGAGTGAAACCTTTCGCCACCAGACGGGCTTTATACCGCTCAATAGAACCATCTGGCAGGAATTTGATCTTGTAAACCCATTTACAGTCAATAGCGCGCTTGCCCGGTGGGAGATGAACAAGAGTCCAGGTGCCGTTAGCAACCAGGGCCGAGATCTCGGCCTGCATAGCCAGACGCCAATGCAGGAACCGAACTGCCTGGTGATAAAACCTGGGCTCTGGATGATGAGAGATACTGGCAACAAAAGCACGATGAGATGGAGAAAGACGATGATAACTAACATGATTAGCCATCGGATGGTGAACAGAAGTAGAAGAACCAGGGAGCTCAACGTCGTAGATATCCAGGAGAGCTTTTGGAGGTTGACGAGCTCTAAGGCTGCGGCGAGGCTCCTGGTTTGGTGGACTGGCTGCAGCCGGGGAAGTGGTTTCCGGTGAGGAAGTTGACGACGCCGGAGAAGTGATGACTGGTGAGGAAGGCGACGCGGCCAGGTTGGGGGAGGAAGGTGAGTCGTCGGCCGAGGAGGACGTAGATGCATCCAGTGCATGTGTCTCCGAGGAAGAGACTTCAAGTGGGGACAATTGAGCAGGTATATAATGATCATCAAGGATGCGAAATGGAGCACCATGCACGTCCTGTAGTTCACGTGACATGTGAAGTGAATCACTTTGAAATTCCTTGGACTTGTAAGGGAGAAGGGCTTCAAAAAACCGGACGTCACGAGAGGTGTAGATAGTGCGCCTCTCGAGATCATAAATACGATAACCCCGCTGAGTAGCGGGATAGCCAATGAACACCCCTGGACGGCCACGATCCGCGAATTTGTCAAGGTGAGGATGAGTGTTTTTGGCATAAACAAGACAACCCAGAACTCGCAGGTGATCATACTTAGGGGAACGCCCGAACAGAACCTGGAAGGGACTCTTATTGTCGAGCGGAACCAAAGGCATCCGATTGATCAGGTAAGCTGCAGTTAAGACGCATTCACCCCAGAACTGAATCGGGAGACCTGCATGAAGACGAAGTGCGCGAGCTGTCTCAAGGAGATGACGATGCTTGCGTTCGACAACCCCATTCTGCTGGGGCGTATCAGTACATGAGGTTTGCAAGACAATACCTTCATTCTCATAGTAGTCACGCAATTCCGAAGTTGAGAATTCTCGACCGTTATCTGCCTGAATTCGGCGAACAACTTTGCTATACTGCGTTCGAACCTGATTACAGAAGAGTAAGAGATATCTGGCAACTTCAGACTTTTGCTTCAACAAGAAAACCCAGACAGCTCGGCTAAAATCATCAACTATGGTAAGAAAATAACGAGCACCAGTAATGGAAGCCTCATGATATCCACCCCAAATGTCGATATGGATAAGTTCAAAACAATCCTTAGTATGAATAGTGCTGTGATCAAAAGGAAGTCTAATCTGCTTCGCCCGTAAACAAGAATCACACGGGTCTTTATTGATGACTATAGGACTAGAAATGAAAGGTTGCAGAGCCAGCAACTTCGCCCCAGACGGGTGACCAAGCCTCGAATGCCAGATATCGGACGCAGTGCCTGCCTTCTGCGCCGTCAATGCTACGGAATGACTGCCGTCGAACAGTCGTAGATGATACAAGCCATCAATATGTGTCCCCATTCCAATCAGCTTCCTCGAACCCAAGTCCTGAATGACACAGAAACCACTTAAAAATATCACTGCAACTGAATGATCCGCAGTGAGACGACTGACTGATAACAGATTGCACTGAAAATCCGGAACGTGCAAGACACGACGCAGAACCAGCCCATTAGATAATCTGGTTGTGCCAATACCATGAACAGGAACCCCTTTGCCATTAGGGATTCGAACCTGTAGCGGGGAACTCGTATCGAGCTCACCAACAAACAATGACCGATCATTTACTATATGCTCATTACACCCGGAGTCAATAATCCAAGTACAAGGTTCGGAGAATAGATTACCTGTCATATTGACGGCCATCCCAGCCGTAGGTGTCGAGTCCGGATGGAGGAAAGCTTTCAGTTGAGCTACTTGTGCTGCTGTAAGTCCCGGGACTGCGCCAATGTCACTCTCAACAGCCGCTGCCTGTGTGTTGGTGCGCTGCTGCCGGTTGTCTCCATTGGCGCGACGACGAGAGCGCTCTCCCCCTCCACGACCAGCTCCCTTCGAAGGCCACCCATTCAGCTCATAGCAGGTTTCACGGAAATGGCCTGGTTTTTGACAGTGAAGGCAAAAAGGTCTACCGTCAGGAGTTCGAGCATACTCCCCCTTGCTCACAGCCACGGCAGTTTTACCCGAACCAGCAGCTTGCTCACCCTTGCCTTGGAAAGCCGCGGCATCAACGCGCGGCCGAGAGTCGGAGAGGCTACGTTGCTGCTCTTCGTTGGCGACCATATGGTATGCCTCACCGAGGCTAGGCGTTGGCCGCATTGATAGAAGCTGCGTGCGCACCACTGAAAAACCTTCATCCAAACCGAGAAGAAAGTCGAGGAGACGCATGTCGTCATGGGACGCACGTGTTCGACGTTCAACATCACAAATGCACCTTCCACATGTGCACTTCGCTGGTGGGTCAAGGGTGAGCCAGTCATCCCACAGCCTTTTAATCTTCGCATAAAAGCCAGCTACACTTAATTGTTCTTGACGAAGCGCGGTGATATCGCGGCGAAGCTTGTACCGGCGAGGAAGGTTACCTGTGCTGAAACGCTCCTTCAGCTCGTCCCAAATTTCTTTCGCCGTGAGCCCTGTGCCGATACCGCTTCTGATATCACGACTCATGGCTGTGCGAAGCCAGCCGACCACTGCTGCATTGCAGCGTACCCAAGCTTCCAGCTGAAGACCATTGCTAGGGCGCGGGGTATCACCAGTAACGAACCCTAGTTTGTTCTTTGCAATTAAAGAGTTTGACATCTCGGCAGCCCATTCTCCATAGTTAGCGTCGGTCAACGCATCACTGACGAACATGAGATTAGGGTGATCGGATGGATGAAGATGCAACGGAGAAGATGCATCGATGACTTGATTTGCGGTTGAACTGGTGCCGCTGAAACCACCCTTGCCGAGATCATCCTTTTCACCGTCGCTCATGGTGTGGACGTTACCAACAAAACCCTAGAACCAAGACAACACGAAGAAAGAACTAACCCAAGATCGAGGGCAGCTCTGATACCATAATAGAAATCGATGTTGCGGAAATATGAATCAAACACACGACACTCAATTTACGTGGTTTCCCCGTTCCATAAGAACGAGACTATTCCACGGAGAGACAGAGCTCTCGAGACACTCTTATTCAATGAATGATTTTTAGTTACAAAGACTAAGGCCTTCAACACGTTCACGGCCAGATATATAGGAAAAGATGGACAAAACCTAATTCCCTCGAGACAAAACGTGAGGAATGAGGGAACTAGCTACAGACCGGCGTGACCAGTTCGGTTCGGTTGACGACTCGACCGGCTGGTCCGCTATATTGACCCCGATGTCGTCGTCCTTTGACTTGCAATGCACCGTCAGCTCCGCCTAGTTTTCCAGCATGTTGGTGATTGTCACCGTCGTCTTCTTTGGCAGGAACCCCGTTGGTTCTACGTCGCCCTCCTCTGCTTTTGCCACGTGGTTTGTGGTGGCCGCCGCGGCGACGGCCGCCAGGGAGATGGCGATTGCCGCCGCTGCCCTCGTTAGCATTGTTATGTTGCTCGACTTCATAGCAACTTAGTTTCTGGTGTGTGTGTGTGTGTGTAGAGAGAGATAAGAGATGGAGATGAGGAAACAATTAATATTGTTACGTTTGTGGGTTTATGTTATGGGTGTGATATGCAAATATTATTAGATGTGTTTCCATGTATAGTTTTGGGACTTGAATGCTGGTGGACGGTATTTAATTTATTTCCATTCGGCATGTGGGTGAAAATAAACCTTTATAGTTTTTTTGGGTGGAGAAATGCATGGTTGAACCGTGGTTTGATATTGATAAGTTGCAAATCATTCTTAATGATATAGGTAACTGATGAATGTGAGTTGATTGGTAAATCTCTCACTCAGGCTTATTTGAGTGGGTGGCTTCCGGGTAGCCGAATGACCATTCCCTATTTTCACATAGCAATGAGTTGTTGATTTTATTTTTTATTTTGTAATTATGATTGAAGAGTCATCATATATATTTTCTAACCACATCGCACATTGCCCATGAACTTGTAAATGTGGACAACAAAGACTAGTTTTGGATTACTGTTATTGGTAATTATGATAGTAATGTTGCGAACAAGGGGTTGGTTCAGTAGCAATACCAATTGTTTTTTACCCTGGGAGGTCTTAGATACAAATCTTTAAAGTAGCACCTAATTTAAAAAAAAAACAAATTTGTACCGCGTTCATAAAAATATTATGATTGTAATCTCCGTTAGATATTGGGATGAGAAGATCAAATAAGTAATGTATCAAGTTGTAAAAAATGTCAATTTTCTCTACAATCGGTTGATGGAGTGATGAAAGATTTGACACCTCTGTCAAAGAAGTGAAATCCAAATGCGTAAAAGCCTTGTTTAATTTCTGAGGATATGTGGTTATCAAACTAATACTAATCACAAAATAAAAATATTTCATAATATTAGACGCTTGAAATTTAATCAATTGAACGTGATTAAATTAATACTAATTGTAAAAAACCAATATCTATTGAATTAAATAGTGTCTCGAATTAATTAAAAATTAATATAAAAGAATAATATTTTTAGCGGCAAAAAATAATTTTTATAGAGGCACATAATATATTGGTCTTGTATAAGACATTTTAGGAGGAAAATATTTTGTGTCGCTAGTTTTAGTCTTTAAAACCAAATTTCTTGTAATGCATTCAGTATTCAAAGTTCCAATTGGGCATTCGGTTGTGGTTATGGCCATTTATCTTCCAGACATAGTAACAGCTGGAAACAACGTGGAGTTGGACTTTAATACATAGTTAGTAAAATACGGTACGGGAAAGTTACGGATATAATACGTACGGGTATTTTACTTCATTTCTAAGCTAATGTTACGTTTAATAGTACGTTAATAGTCATAAATATATAAAATAAATTATTTTTTAAAATAAATAAATATATAAATAATAGTAAAGTTAACAATTTAATTCATTAAATACGGATATAAAACGTGTTATACGGATTTTATACGTGTTTAGTACGGGAGCCACCAAATGAACGGACAAAAATGAAACGGCTTGACAAAAATACGGATACGGAAGTTTTAAACGGATAAAGTACGTACGGGTACATATACGTGTATTAAACGGAGTATTTACTAACTATGCTTTAATATGAAGAAGCATAGGGATTTTTTTTAATGAAACAAGCATAGGGAGTTGGGAGAAAAATTATGGACATGTGAGGATTTTGGGTTTATTATTGATATGAAAAACACCATTGTTTGTTTCATGGATTTCATTATGGATCTTGTTAATTAAATTTTTTGTATGAAGTGAAATTTACATTTATTGCCCTCAATGATATGAGAAGACAAAGAAAATATGAGGGGTAGGTTGGTAAAAAATATAAACTTCAAAGTTCATGATCAATTCCCACCTAAAAAAGGTGGAATTTTCAAGTCCATGGGTCTCATAAATTTGTTATTTTTACAAACTTGAAGTAAACAATGGATTTTGTACAAAGTTCATCATGGACCCAAATTCATCATCAAATCCTTCACCAAATATATCAAGCAAACAAGACCCGTATCTTTTCTTTGACTAAGAATGGTTCACTCTAGTTTAGGAATGATGGTTTCACATAGAAAACATTGTATTGTGTTGTTGGTGAATTCTCATTTTAGGATTCTAAATCATCCAAAACTCTCACGAGTCCAAATGTTGTATATTTTGAAACAACCCAATACATTTACACAAACAGAAATACTCATAGTTCCAGAGGCGACCGAAATAGTGTCCAAAAATCTCGATAAAATTAATAAATTCAAGCATTTTTCACAAGAAATTCAAATGAAATGCCCTAAATAGTTGGGCGACCCAAATCCATGGTAACAAAACCACCCAAACTCCAAATCTCGAATCTCTAGTTTATATACTCATAATCATGAACAAAAATAATGAAAATAACAATAGTTCTATCTTCTCGCTGAGCTCCCCTCAATCTCGTCCGCTCAGGAGCGGCTTCCTGCTTCGCCTCGCCTCTTCTCGGAATCCACCTCCGCTAACCCTTCCTCGACCTGGTGAGTGAGAAGGGTTTAGTATCGTCATTACTTCCTGGGTCTTTGCCCTAGGTACATCCTTACAAACACATAATTAGTGTTTCTTTTCCTTAAATGAAAGTCTTTCTCGCTTTCATCCTTAATACCTAGTCCAACGATTTATTATAGAAGTTCTCGACTTGTACAACCCGCCTCTTTTGGGTTGGGTTTGGATTTTGGATTACACAATCCGTAGAACCCGACCCAACCTGTGTTCCAACTATTGGTATGAGTTTGTATTCAAAAGATATTTATGTCGTATATACCTTGCTTATGAGAAAATTAAGATATTTTGCCATATTTTTCTCTAATGGTCTCCCTAATCTAATGCATTCTTCGGTTTAAAGTTTAGATATAGATTTAATATAGCTATGATTCACGTAATCCTTTTTGTTGTGTACAATTTTAATAGAATAACATATTATGGATGCGTTCGTGAAAAAACTAGACATGTGTTGAAGTAAATCACATTTTATTAAAATCTAAACATGTATGAATTTTGATACCTTTCACCTCAGTTTATTTGTTTGAAATTTTAATTAGTCATAAAATATTTTTATGGTGTAGACTAATTACATATTTTGTGTTGGATTGAGTTTTTATTTAAAAATATCGCCAAACCGACCCTGCCCAATTAGAAACAAACCGTAGGGTTTTCAATTTAAACAAACCGTAATACATGGGCCGGGTGATTAAAATGGCTAAACCCGGACCACCCGACCCATGTACACCCCTACACACCTATATCACTAGGGACCACCGCGTTACGTCTCGTCGTCCGGTGTCCCTACCCTAGTATGCCAACCGCGTTACGTCTCTCCGTCCGGTTGCATACCCAACTCGGCAATCGCACTGTGTTACGTCTCGTCGTCCATTCTCGGTCAACTACTGCGTTACGTCTCGCCGTCCAGTAGTGACCCCAACATACTTGATCAATTGTTGCGTTACGTCTCGCCGTCCAGAAGTGATCCGACCATCTATCACGTCCAGTAGTGGCCAAACCGCCCGAAGGTTCATCGTACCACTAACCATACATTACAAACATACATTCTCATACATAGCACAACGCGTGCCTCCACCTTAAGTAGGCGATGGGATGCATCAAACACATAACCACAATTTTATTAAAACCGGACCTTACAGGCAGGTCAGACCGATAAAAACCCGGCTAGGGCCACAATCCGGTCCCGGAAGGCTTGAAACGGTAAGAAAGCTGCTCGGCCGGGTTGCATCTGGTTCACCCGGTTAACCGGCAAAACGGTTGCACCCGAACAGGCAGTTTGGAACTAATTCATCCGTTTTAAACTTTTGACTTTTCAAATTTAAATTATAAAATAATAAAAACCTGTCGAATCAATGTGGAGTCTGCTTTAATGGGAGCTTGGAATTTCCGGAACAGGCTCCATTTTCATTATTTCTAAATAATAAAAGCTTAACAACCACCTACCCACCCCTTTTAACGTTTTAACTTTCAATTAATGTTCCTCAAAAATTAAACTTTCAATTAATGTATTTGGGGTATTTGGGGAATCTATCTCTGCTTTTCTTTCTTGGAAAGTGAAGATAAGCACTCCACACCTTTCGAGCACCGCTGGTTAGGTTGCAAGATATCAGTAGGCATGTCACCAGTTTTATGATCGGTTAGTTAGGGTTAACCGATAAACGTTGAATCTCTCACTAATCCGGATTGATGTTCGGTCCGGTTTTGACAACATTGCATAACCGTGCATACTGAATAATTAACGAACATAACTTGAAATGAAAAACATAAACTAAAGACCTCGACGGAGATTTAACCCCCTTTACACTCACCTCTTTAGTCACGTCAACGTCTGCATTCTCACGCTCAAGCTTCGGGTGCTTTTCCTCTAATGGTTCCTCCTCTATCGGCTCCTCTTCGACGATCCCCACTTTTGGAGCTCTGCCGCCATTATCTCTGAGGACCCTCCTCCGACAACAATTCGGTGGCCAACTTCGAATGGCTGACACCCTGGGTCATCTAGGAGGATAAGGTCGGGGCCTCTCTATCGCTTTACCACCAACAATCGCGATCGCCATTGCCGAGTTCCCGGCCTTTCTTCCGCCTCCGCCGGTGACGACTTCTCCTCTACTACTCACCGGCGTGAACATCCTCATCGTGCGAGGCTACAAAGTTTTATTGGCGGCTATTTTTCTCACCTTTCTGTCCCTCCTTAGCCGAATTGTCTCAAGAAACCTATTAATATGAAATTCATTTTCTTAGACAACCTTTCTCGATTTCAAACCCCTTTTTATCTACCAGAACACCCTCAAACTTCATTCCAACATCCCTTAACCTCCTTTTAACACTTTTCTAGAAATAATCCCTTCAAAACCGACCGTTTTTCCTAATTAAATTTATCATGGACGATTTTTTTACCCAACTTAGACCAACTTATAAATATAGTCAATAGTTTTCTCATATCAATCATGAGAACATATACCCTGAAAAATTATCAAACCCATAAAAACACTTCAGCATGATTTTTATTTAATTAAAATCAACATTCGACCAATTTCTGAAAAAATAATACATTTTCAAAAATCCCCAAATTAAATCAAAGGCATCTTATAGCCCTCCCTCAATTTAAAAAAATTATTAAAACCAGAAAAAACTACCTGAAGAGGCTCGAAAAAATTTACACATCTTAAAATACATTCCTAGAAATTCCCTACAGCTTTAGTGACCTCCCAAAATCCGTCACTAATGGATATCTTGGTCTTCCATTGAATTCTGGAAAGCTTTCGAGTCGTGAATGTGTTGTTTTAATTGTTAAGATTACTGGTAAGATCAGGAGCTGGAGGGTAAATAGACTTTCTCGTGCTGGCAAATTGCAACTGGTTGAATCTGTACTTTACTCCTTGGTTCATTACTGGATGGCCATTTTCCTCATTCCTAAGAAAGTCTTAAAAAATATACAGAAGATTTGCTCATACTTTATATGGCATGGAGAGAAAAGGGGAAAGCTAAGGTTGCTTGGGACATTCTGGCTTTTCCTAAAAAAGAAGGGGGTCTGGGGTTGAAGGATCTAGTAACATGGAATGTGGCTGCTTTGGCTAGGCTGATTTGGTTACTTCTTCTCCAAGGGGGGGGGGGGGGGGGGGGGGGGGGAGTTTCTGGGTTGCCTGGATTTTTGGGTATCGCCTCAAGGGGGGTTTCCATTTGGGAGGCTCGTATTACTTCTTGTGGATCTTGGATATGGAAACAGATTCTTAAGATTCGCTCTTGGTTGAGATTCAGAATGCAGGATGAGTAGGGGTCTGTTACTTGGCAGGGGAAGAAGTTGGAGAAGTACTCGATATCAATGGTATGGGAATCAATACGAAAGAAGCAACCTCGGGTATCTTGGTGGAAAGTAGTATGGAATACATATAAGTTGCCCAGAAATAGTGTGCAGGTTTGGTTGAATATGCTGGACATGATTAACACAAGAGACAAACTCAAACTTTGGAGACTGATCAATGATAGTTCATGTCCAATTTGCGGTTTGGCTGAGGAAAATAGAAATCATTTATTCTGTCAGTGTTAGTATGTGCAGGAGGTAGATGATGTGGTGCTGGGATATAAGGTGCAAATTTTACAAGAGTGCCCTGCAGTGTTGCTGTTTATGATCAACATAATCAAAGATCATGGTAGCTGTGGTTTGATTGAAGCCTCAGTATGGAGTTGGTGTATCTGTTTTGTGTGGAAGGAACGATGTCGACGGGTTTTTGGGGAGCTTCCTCGAACTGTAAAGGTGTTGTGTCATCCTGAATTCCTAGCCCAACTTAAGATAACTGCTAGTTGTTGTCATTGCATAGATTAGTAGTTTGGTTTTCTCTTTCGTTGTAAGGGGTTGTGTGGGCTATAGGCCTTTGTATTTTCGAACTCTTTTGCTGGTTTTTAGGCCAAGAGAGCGCTTTAATGGTAAAATACTAATTACCGGGGGGAAAATCCGTCACTAAAAGCCTGTAATGTTCGTCGCTGGGTAATTGGGGTCGGGCACAAGGTGGGGGAGTCGGCGCTCCCTTCTTCCTCTACTCGCCTCACGCTGGCGCTGAGGACAAAGGGCAAGGCGGTGGGTTATTATTGCAAGGGGGAGGGTTTGTGCTGTGGGAATTATTAGGGGGGCTAGAGGCTCCTCCCCTTTCATATATATATACGGTGCCTTCTACGGTACCCCGGGTGAAATCCGGGGTACCGCATACGTTGAGTATGAAAACGCTATCTAGACCTCGAATTAGCAGGATTTTTGGGTTTGATACTATACCCTAACCCTTAATGAGTGAACCCTTAAGGTATGCAGTACCCCAGATTTCACCATGGGTACAGTAGAACTCCCCATATATATATATATATATATATATATATATATATATATTGGATGCGCCTATGGTGCCTTGCAAGTCACTGTAACTTCCACAATTAGGTCGACCTATTTCTAATTGAGGTCGACTGAATCCCCTAACGTGGTCACTCTAATTTTGTACAAATGACCAACAATAGAGAAGTGGTCGACCTGAAATATTACTAGGTCGACCTTAAAGACGTAAATTGTCACTACCAGAACCAATTAGGTCGACCTTTGCTCTTACTAGGTCGACCTATCTAGTATTATAATACCAATTTACCAAAAAAACATGTGTAATACTACCACGAATAATTGATAGGTCGATCAGACACATTGACCGGCCGACCTTTTAAGCACAACATAGTCTTACAAACAAAGCCAAAATCGACATTCTGGATAAACAAGCAAAACGAAACAAAAACGGTCGACCATGATAAGAATTATATCAACCTATTGGGTTTGATCTTCCTTACATCACAAGTACAGAAGTCCGAGTGTTGTGTCTTATATTCAATTTCTCGCAATTTTCAAACAGAGGCTGGCCTGATTGAAATAAGGGTCAACCGAATGGTCTTCTGCTCGCAACAAAACATCAAATTAAACGGTTCATATTACGAATTAGACAAGATGAAGGTGATAGCTACAATAGGTCGACCTCTTGAAACACTTACAGCAGCAACCGGAAAGGATCTTCTTCACAAAAGCTCTAACCGTACAAAAAACAAAATTCGGAATTTTATGGCGGTGAAAGTGACATATATTCTTATTTATATATATTTAGGATGAGATTGGGTCGAATTAAATTGTAGACAAGTTAGCGTTACCTTTCTAGTGTTGATATCCTTATCTAATACGGATACGGTGTGCACACGGTCGACCTCGTACTTGTCAGGTCGACCGTTTATACTATTTTCCTAAATAATCCCGACTTTGATGTTGATCAGTTAATGAAACAGAGGTCGACCTTTTCACTTATGAGCTCAACCTTTTAATAGCAAAATGGTTGGCCTTTGAGATATTTGGGTCGACCTTTTATATTGTTCGCTTCGCAAATAGGTCGAGCATTTGCTGTAAAAGGTCCACCGCGTCGTTGAGCCTCACAAAACCGAAACAACTAATTAGGTCGACCTAACCCTATCTGAGGTTGATTGAACAGTGCAAGTTACGGTGACATACAAGTCACCATAGCAAAGTCCATATAAATTTTAAATATAATAATATAATAATATTTATTATTATTCCTAATCTGCGGTTTACTTTCTTCCCACTATCATTTATAACAACTACATTACGTACCCTTTGCTCATCTCGTGTAGTTCACTGTACCTCCTATATTTCTTTTTAACAACCATAGGTATCCCCACCTAACTTGTAGCACTCGTGTAACATTGAGTCACCACTGCCCTTTTTGTTTCACAACTTGTCCCAAAAGTGATGAAACAAAATGTCGTTTGGCTTGATATGTTGATTCAATTCACCTTATAGTTGTTGAACCTAAATCTGAAATCGAGATATCACATTTTCCCCCTCCCTAAGGAAAATTTCGACCCCAAAATTTGTTCATTGTAATGACTCCAAGCCTCACTTGTGATAATCTTTTTACAAGAAAATGTACCTCCTTAATTTCTCATTTGCTTTGCTTAAGCGCCCCCTAGTATTGCTTAAAATCTAGCCTCCACTACTCCTTGAGTTATAGCCCTACGCTCGATTCTCGCAAACTCGACGAACCTTCCTTGCATCCTCTCCTCTAGATTATAGCCACCATTTGTTTTGACTCCTTGGTTATAACCTGTCGATGTACTAGATACTTAGCGTCTTTCTGAACCTTATATTGATCAAGTCGCATCCCCATAGAGTATGAGCTTCTTTGGACTACCTTTTCTCGCTCATGAAAAAGAGTTCACTAAACTATCCCCTTAGGAATCTGCTCTTCTCCTTCCCGAGACGTATGACAGTCCCACGGGCCCTCCTAGAGTTATTTTCTTATAATGATTAGAGTATACTGGAGATTCTTTAAAATGCTCAAAAGAAACCCTAACTCGCTTAGCCAAACCTTTAACCTGACACCATTTTTTCCTTTCCTTTAAATACAGAAGTTTTGAAAAACTCAGATCGTCACTCCAATATTCCTTGGAGACCAAGGAACAGAGGAGTGTCGGCTCTGATACCAAAATAACTCTAGGAGGCTCAAAAATAAAACGACCTGATACTTTTAAACAAATCGAAATACTCATGCTTCGAAGCCGACCGAAATATTGTCCAAAAATCTCAATAAAATAAATAAATCCAAGTATTTTCCACAAGAAATTCAAATGAAATGCCCTAAATAGTTGAACGACCCAAATCCATGGTAAACAAAACCAACCAAACTTCAAACCTCGAATCTCCATTTTATATACTCATAATCATGAACAAAAATAATGAAAATAACTATATCTCTATTTTCTCGCTGAGCTCTCCTCAATCTTGTTCTAGGAATGGCAATGGGGCAGGTCCGGGGCGTGTATCTTGATACCCATACCCGCCCCGTGGCAGGTCGGGTCCAGGTCGGGTAATTTATCACGGAGTGCGGGTCGGGGCAGGTCGACCCAATGGGTATCTAATTTATGTGAAAAACATTAGAAATATTTGTTATTTTCATTAAACATAATATCATAAAATATAGTTAAATTATTTGAGAAATTAAGGTTTCACTTATGTAAAACTTTATATAGCTAAAATATGAAGTAATAAGAGGAAAATCCTAAATAATTTGACGAAGAGTACATGTAATTTAGGCAGGAACGGGTCAAGAATGGGGCGGGTCGGGGCAGGTCGGGTCAATAAGAGGTATCCATGCGAGCCCCGTCCCGCTTATGGGGCGGGTCGGACCCGCCCAAAACAGGCCAAATAGATCAAGTAAAACGGGTCAGGTCAAAATTACCATCTCTTAGGAGCGGCGTCCTGTTTCGCCTCGCCTCTTCTCGGAATCCACCTCCGCTAACCCTTCCTCGACATGGTGCGTGAGAAGGGGTCAGTCTCGTCATTACTTCCTAGGGTCTTTGCCCTAGGCACATCCTTACTAACACATTATTAGCATTTTTTTCCTTAAAGGAAGTCACTCTCGCTTTCATCCTTAATACCTATTCCATCGATTTCTAATAGAAGTTCTCGACTTCTATCCCTAACTCATAGAAGTTCTCTACTTCTATCCTTAGCTCATACATATATCACTAGGGACCACCGCGTTACGTCTCGCCATCCAGTCTCCCTACCCTAGTATGCAAACCGCGTTACGTCTCAACATCTGTTTGCATACTCAACTCGACAATGGCACTCCGTTACGTCTCGTTGTTCAGTCCATGCTCGGTTAACTACTGCGTTATGTCTCGCCGTCCAGTAGTGACCCCAACATAGTCGATCAACTACTGCGTTACGTCTCCCCGTGCAGAAGTGATCTCACCATTTACCGCGTCCAGTAGTAGCCCAACCACCAGGGGGTTCATCTTAACACTAATCATACATTACAAACATACATTCTCATACATAGCACAACGCGTGCCTCCACCTTAAGTAGGCGGTGGGATGCCTCAAACACATAATCGCGCATACTGAAAATTAACGAACATATCTTGAAATGAAAAACATAAACTAAAGACCTCGACGAAGATTTTACCCCCCTTTACACTCACCTCTTTAGTCACGTCGACGTCTGCATTCTCAAGCTCCAGGTGCTTTTCCTCCTCCGGCTCCTCCTCTATCGGTTCCTCTTCGACGATCCCCACCGTTGGAGCTCCGCCGCCATTATCCCCGAGGTCCCTCCTCCGACCACAATTCGGTTGCCAACTTCGAACGGCCGACCCCTGCGGTCGTCTAGGAGGATAGGGTTAGGGCCTATGCATCGCTTTACCACCAACAGTCGCGATCGTAATCGCCGAGTTCCCAGCCTTTCTCCCGCATCCGCCGGTCACAACTCCTCCTCTCCTACTCACTGGCATGAACCTCCTCATCGCGCGAGGCCGCGAAGTTTTATCGGCTGCTATCTTTCTCACCTTGCTTTCCCTCCTTAGCTGAATTGTCTTAGGAAACCTATTAATAAGAAATTCATTTTATTGTACAACCTTTATTGATTTAAAACCCCTTTTTATCTACCAGAACACCCTCTACTCAATGTCCCAACCTCAAAATTCATTCCAAACCTCCTTTAACCTCCTTTAACACTTCTTTAGAAATAATCCCTTCAAAACAACCCTTTTTCTAATTAAATCCATCTTGGACGAATTTTTCATCCAACTTAGACCTCCTTAAAAATATATACAATATTTTTCCCATGTCTATCATGAGAACATATACCCTGGAAAATTATCAAACCCTTAAAAACACCTCGGAGGAGATTTATTTAATTAAAATCAACATTATATTAATTTACAAATCTTCAAAAGTTACTTATTGCCACATAATCTTTTGGAGAACTCACAAGTTGCTGAGGTGGACAATTTTTTTGGAAACAAAAAATTAAGTTAATGATCAATTTATGAAGCTATATCTCTCTTCTTTTAATAATTTTCATTTTTGCTTTTTCATTATATGTATTAATCTATGTATGCAATAATAGACTAATATTTGAAAAGTGACATCTATCGCATTTTTTAAATTGAAAACATATTATTACATCTTTAAGGCAATTTTCTACTCATTTATGCAAAAAGTTAATAATAAGTTACATTTTAATGAGAAATTAGAAAAAGAACACACATAAATAATAATATTTTATTTGATCAAACAAATATAGCGATGAAAAGAGAGAAAATAATTGTTTGATGATTAATCGACTTTCAAAAATGAACTATATTATTTTATATATTGTACTATCAAACATTTTCTCATTTCTAATGTATATGTCTATCAAATATAGCAAGTATTATACAACAAAAGATCTGGATAGAAACTTGACGATGTACAAGTATTATATGACACATGTGAATGTTAGAGAAGTATTTGTAGATGATGTACAGTAAACATCATGTATCATCAACCACTGACCTAAGCATTGATCAAACAAAAGCCGACAATTTTCGTTTAATAGTTGAATGTATTGGTAGAAAAATTTAAACTGGAGTATTAATATAATAATTAAACATCTATTTGTTGGTTGAGATATCTACACCAAATGCATTTATAGTTACAAAGTCTAATCCGAGTTATTGGGTTAAAAATAAAGAATCTTTAATAATGATGAGCTCAACAAGCCAATTGTAATAAGTCATTTGGTAGTATGGTTGTGAGCCTGTGACTGCATACCAAATCTTGGCAGTAAAAATAAAGTTCTAATATTAAAATGTCAAAACAAAATTATTTTAGTTTGTAACATGAAGCAATTTGTATTTAAATCGAGTTATCATAGTCACAATTTTTTCCATATTCCACTGATCGAGCAAAGTTCGAAGGCATTAACTATGATTAAAAAGTAAATTAAAATCTTTACATATGCTTAGATATTAACAATAGATGTGTCTACAATACATCCATGAGTCCATATATATAGAAAATGTCCTAACGGTTGTATAAATATAATAAATTGGTTTAGAGTTTGTCCTGACTCGAGAATCACGAATTGTTATATGTATAATATAACAAATTTGAGTGTCTTGGTTTGAAAAATCTTGATATGCTATACTAAATGGGATGTGATAAATCTTCAAGATATTATTTTTTATTAGAGAATAATACCATCATAGGTGAGTATGCTAAGTATTGAGAATTTTTAATATAGGCATATCACATACTCGCTTATAAAGTGAGAGTATAAAAATGTAGGTGATTCAAAATATTTTAAACATATAGATAAATCAATTGATATAAATGATAATAAAACTCTCCGGCCAAAAGGTCGGGTAAGAAACTAGTATATTATAGCATAGTTGGAGGCAGTTTTTCAGCATTTGAAATTTCCTACAACGAGAGCGAAAGTAGGAAGGGTAATTGAGTCTTCACAATCATTTTTATTTTTTCATTAGAAAAAAATACATCTATCTCGTGATTTGAACCATGGTCTTTCCAAAAGAAGACACCAACCATTACCAATTACATTAAAGAAATGTTTTGTATCTTTTAAAATACAAAATCTAAAAATCTAAAATCTTAAAATTATATGACTTTTCCACTACTATTAGCTAGCCCACTAACTATTCCGCAAATACTTTCTTTGTTATTTGATATTTGAATTATTTTAATTTGATTTTAATAATCAATTTAATCTATGTTTATCTTATAAATGGAGGATAATTTAAAATTACAACCCAAATATCATTAATTCGGATATTATATATTGAATTGCATTATTGAATATGTACATGTAATGTAAAATTCTTAACTTGGAAGAGCAATTGTGTCTTCACAATCATTATTATTTTTTCATAAGAAAAAAAATACATTGATCTCGATATATGATTCTTGGTCTTTCCAAATAAAGACACCAACCATTACCAATTACACTAGAGAAATCTTTTGTATTTTTTTAAATACAAAATGTAAAAACCTAAAATCTAAAAATCATATGACTTTTCCACTACGGTTAGCTAGCCCACTAATTCTCCCACAAATACTTTCTTTGTTATTTGATATTTAAATTTTCATAGTTGAATTGTTTTAATTTGAGTTTAATAATAAATTTAATCTATGTCTATCTTATAAATGGGGGATAATTTTAAAATTAAAACGCAAATATCATTGATTCGGATATTGCACATTGAATTGCACTATGGAATGTGTACATGTAATGTAAAATTCTTAACTTGGAAGGGTAATTGCGTCTTAACAATCATTTTATTTTTTTTATAAAAAATACATCGATCTCAAGATTTGATCCATGGTATTTCCAAACGAAGACACCAACCGTTACCAATTACACTAGAGAAATATTTTGTATCTTTTTAAATACAAAATGTATAAACCTAAAATCTAAAAATCATATGATTTTTCCACTACTGTTAGGTAGCCCACTAACTCTCTCGTAAATACTTTCTTTGTTATTTGATATTTGAATTTTCATATTCGAATTATTTTAATTTGAGTTTAATAATAAATTTAATCTATGTATATCTTATAAATGGAGGATAATTTTAAAATTGCAACCCAAATATTATTGATTCGGATATTGGTCAATTCTTTCACCCTATTTTTTTCCATAGATATTCCCCAAAAAGGGAAACATCATATATAATGTACAAAAGTAAAGCCTTTCCAGGCTGAAATGAAAAAGAAGGGACGTCAGCCGACCGACCAACGATAAGAGAGCATTCTTGCAACAGTATGGACAGCTCTTTAATACCTATTCGGTAAAGACCGAGTTCTTAACTTACTTTTCACCCTTTGCAGGGATTCTTTCACCCTATTTTTTTGTATTGGGTGGAGGCCGAAGCCGAGAAAGAGAAGTAACAGGTTACAGAGAGGGATTAAGAGGAGGGTTGGGTGGGGATTACAATGCGACGCTCAAATGTAACCCCTATCATATCATCTCTGAGAATCTGCCTTAGTCCGCTTGGGGGTCCGCAAGT